CAGGGGTTGCTGGTAATGAAGATGTTATCACTTTAAGGTCAGAATTGGCGAATGCTAAACTTGAGATAGCTGCTCAAATGAGATTTTGGCGGATCTAGATTATCAAATAAATTTCATTAGCAAAGAATGCAATCAGAATATCCAACGTATTCAATAATTAACTGAGGCACTTAAAGAAATAGAGTCTAACAAAATGGATTCCATTAAAAACCTTGAATGTACCTTAATGAATTTAAATTCAGAACTTTCTGCAGCCAAAGATTCCTCCAACGTGAATAAAAAACAATTTCAACACTCGAAGAAAAACTTTCAATTTTGCGTATACAATTACATGATGCTAAGGCTTCGGATGAAAGATGTTCAAATATTATTAATGAGCTGGAAAACAAATTAAAGAATACACTTAATATTCAAATGGATAAAGAAGAAAATATTACTAATCTTGATGTCCTTATCTCGGAATTTGAATTTGTAATTCAAAAACCACAATCAGTACTTCAAACATCAAAGGTATCCGAAGCAGATGTTGACAAATGCGGAAATAAATTGATACTATGATTGAAGACCTTGCTAACCAACTTAAACAGGCTCACAGTGAAGCCAAGTTTTATAGAGATCAAGTTTTAGTCTTAGAAAATCAAACCAAACAATTAGAGTCTGATAGGGTGAAAACCCTTGAACGAGATGCAACTCTTGAACAACAAGTTGAACAACTTCAAAAAGATCTTGAAATATTATGTGAAGAATTTTTACAGAAGGTAGTCATATTTGAAGATAATAATACACTATCAAACCAACAAAAGCAACGGATTGTTGAATTGGAAACTGTTCTTGCAGAGACCAAAAAAGCCATTTCCACAAATGATAGAAGTTCGATTTCTACACGTGGTTCTGCATCTACAAATCCGCTCTTGCCGAACTTGCTTCTGAAATGAAAGTTTACGACAAATAAGCGATGATCTTAATACCAAAATGTCCAAAGCAAAAGAACGTATCTCAGAATTAAACGCCAAAATCAATATTTTGGAAAGTGAATTAGTTCAATTTAGATCAGGAAGTATTGACATTAATGAAGAATCCGTCGAAAGTTTGAAATCGAAGATTCAAGAACTTCAGTCCGATAAGGATATATTAGAACAAGCAAATTCAACTGCGATTGAAGACCGTAATAAACTCGCTCATAAGATCGATTTATTAATGCATCAATTACGTTCTGTTGGTGGTAACAAAGTTGCCCAACACATATCTCAACTAAATGAACAAATTATTAAACTCGAAAAAGAACATGCTCAGTTAAAACAAGATTCTTTAGACGAAATTAGGAACATGGAAAAGGAGATTACACACTTGATAGAACATAACAGCCGCTTAGAACAAGAGATCAAAGGCATGGGCGGTAACGTTCCAAATATTGACAAAATCGGCTTTGTTGCAGAGATGGTATTTCCATTTATTCTAAGATCAGCCGTCAAGATGCAGCAAAGTGCACTTATCAAAACCCTTCAAGAAAGGATTGTAGAACTTGAAAACCGATCTTTTGATGAACCATATGTTGGACCAGATTTAGATGCTGTTGGTGGTATGCGTATGTCAACAATGTCATCATCATCTAATTCATTTAATTCATCATCGGATACCAATAATAAGAAAAATCAACGACATCCAAGCCTTCCTAAACCATCTGTACCACCACCAAATCAGCCTTTCCCTCCAATTCCTCAAAATTCTACACCATCACGCACAAGAAATAGATCAGATTCAATAGTATCATCAGACCTTTCATTAGAAATTCAGAGACTACACAAGAAGATTGCCGAAATTGAGGGTGAAAACTTACAAAACCTGAAACTTGTGGAAACTCTTGAGGCTTCAGTCGGTGATAATGAAATAATTTTTACGTGTAGAAAAACAACAACTTTCAGTATTACAGCGCGAAAAAACGGATTACCTTGATCAAATAAAGAAATTAAGTAAACAATTGAACGAGGCAAATGTAAATTTATATGTTTTACATAATAAAACAAGCTTTTCGACAAAATCTCTAATATTTCGTACCTTCATTACGATTTGTACATAAAAAAAAAAACTTAGCAATTAAAAGTTAATATTTAATATTGCGCAAGAAAGAAAAAGAGAAATTTATACGACTTGGCATTATAGAATAAAGCGTTATCGCTATTGCTAAATTTGTGTTAAATAACAACCGTTGGAATTATCCTCACGTAAATAAAGCAGAGTTCTGTGTCACGATTTTATGCGTGACCTGACTATGTAAAAAGCGTGACGCAGAACTTTGTTTTATGAATTTGAA